AAATGATGACGCCAGCGCTGCAGCGGGAGCACGATTCGGAACGAGCGGAAGCGCGGAACTGAGGCCAGCGCTGCAGCGGGAGCACGATTTGGAAAGAGCGGAAGCCCGAAAATGAGGCCAGCGATTCAGCGGGAACAGCATTTTGAGAAAGCACCCCAGCGAAAACCCAATTCCCTGGAATCTTGGTGTGCAAAACATCCGTACGCGGAGGGGGGGCGAGTATCTTCCGGACGTCACCTAGGGAGAGAGGAGAGTAGTGTTCATAGTGTGCACACGTTGTTCATTTCTAAGTATTCGAAAGTTCTTTGATCTTTTGGGGGGCCAAGATCCTTTCATTTCTAATTGTTCTATCCTGGGCCTCTTCCTAGCCACTAAGGGGGCCAGGAACAATTAGAAACGAGCACAATTAGAAAAGAGCACGCTTAGAAATGAACGCTTGGAAAAAAAAGCGGTTTGGGGAGGTCCAGGGAGGGTCTGAAGCCCACGGCGCCAACCACCATGATCATAATTACATGTTGTTTATGCATTGCGTTCGTTGTTGTGCATTGCAGTTGCTGTTGCATTGCAGCTTTGCCGTTCTAGCTCCAGTTTTGGATTCCGCTCGCGAAGCAAGAGCGGTTTGGGGAGGTCCAGGGAGGGTCTGACGGCCACGGCGCCAACGACCATGGCCAGATTTGCAGGTTGATGAATTTCATGTTGTGGTGCATTTCAGTCTGTCGTCGCAGATTGTTTGCATTGCATTTTTGTGTGTGCATTGCAGCTTTGCGGTCCTAGCTTCAGCTTTGGATTCCGCGTGCGAGGCGAGAGCGGTTTGGGGAGGTCCAGAGATGTTTGGAAGCCCATTACGCCAACCACCATGATCAGGGTTACAGTTGTTTTCATTGCAGTGCCTTTGTGCATTTCAGCCTTTCCGTTCTAGCTCCAGCTATAGAATTTTCAGCAGTTGCAGCGCACGGCGGGACGCCAAGCATCACAACGAAAGGCTGAAGCTGGAGCGTAAGCTTCCTCTTTGGCTTCCGCGTGCGAGTCGAAGCGAGACGCATGCGAGGCGAGAGCGGTTTGGGGAGGTCAACGGAGGGTCTGGAGCCCACGGCGCCAACCACCATGATCCGAATTTTCAAGTTCTCAGCCGTTGCAGCGCACGGCGGGACGCCAAGCATCAACACCCAAGGCTGAAGCTTAAGCTCCAGGTTCAACTATGGATTCGGCGTACGAGGAACGATCACATGTTCTTTTGCATTGCAGCTTTGCAGTTGTGGCTTCAGCTTTGGATGTTGCGTGCGAGGCGAGAGTGGTTTCGGGGCGTCCAGGGAGGGTCTGAAGCCCACGGCGCCAACCACCATGATCACAATTTTTGTTTTTGTTGCATTGCAATTTTTGTTGGGTTGCAGCTTTGCCGTTCTAGCTCCAGGTTTGGATTCCGCGTGCGAGGGGAGAGCGGTTTGGCGAGGTCCAGGGAGGGTCTGAAGCCCACGGCGCCAACCACCATGATCAGACTTATAGTTTATTTTGCATTTCAGCTTTTCGGGCAGTGCAGCTTTTGGCTTCCGTTCTAGCTAGTGCTGTTTGCATTGCAGCTTTGCGGTCCTAGCTTCAGCTTTTGGATTCCGCGTGCGAGGCGAGATCGGTTTGGGGAGGTCCAGGGAGGGTCTGAAGCCCACGGCGCCAACCACCATGATTAGAAGTACAGTTTTTTGTGCATTGCAATTTTTTGTGCATTGCAGTTTTTGTTCGCATTGCAGCTCTGTCGTTCTAGCTCCAGTTTCTGATGCCGCGTGCAAGGCGAGGGCGGTTTGGCGAGGTCCAGGGAGGGTCTGAAGCAGTCTCTGGGACTCTGGGAGCGATTCCTCCCCCTCTATTGGCCGCGGCTGCATTCCACAATGTGCGGGATGTGCGATTGTGGTTGGGCCGGCGAATTAAGGTTTTAGAAGGGTTTCGGCCTCTTGGAGGCCTCTCGGGGCGCTCTTGAAGCTATCTTGGTGCCATCTGGGGCCCCTCTTGGGCCTCCCTTGAGCTATCTTGGAGGCCATCGACCAACAAAGAAGGCGGCGTCAATTTGGATCCCCCCGTCGGAACCCTCAAAATCGCCTCTTGGAGCCTGCTTGGGACGCTCTTGGGGCGGTTTTGGGCGCTCTTGGGGCCGTCTTGGGCCTCTCTTGGGCCCCTCTTGCGGATCTCAGGGTCCATCCTAGAGCCATCTCGACGCTTCAGAAGCCCATCGGCAGAAGCCCATCGGAAGCGAAAAGGCGAGAAGGCACACAAAAATATTGATTTCCATTAGGTACTGGACGGTTGTTGGCATCTCTAGAGCGTTCGTGGGAGGGTCTTTGGTCACTTAGTCTTGGAGGGATATTGAAGCATCTTGGAGGTCTGTTGCAAGCTATATTTGGCAATGTTGGGCTATCTTCTGCGATCTTGGAGGCCATCTTTAGCTCTTTGGAGCCTTCTGGGAGCCATCTTGGGCTATCTCGGACGCTCTGACCGCTCGCGAAAGGCCCTGTCCAGGTCCGGGGGGGGGTGGTACCGAAGAAGAAGGAGGTTGGAAGAGAGGGGTATGAAAACCACTCACGCCCTACAGGGCTGGTTGGATTTTGGCCCCCTCCGCTGGGACCGTCGAAATCGCCTCTTGGGGCCCTCTGTGGCCCCTCTTGGTCGCTTCTTGGAGGCCTCTTGGGGTGTCTTGGGGTGTCTCTTGGCAGTCCCGGGAGCCTCTTGGAGCGTCTTGGCTGCCTCTGGGGGTGCGAGGCTCTTGAGGCCTCTTGAGGGCCTCTTTGTGACCGCTTGGAAGTATCTGGAAGCTTCTTGGAGGTTTTCTTGAAGCCCCTTGGGCGCCTCTTGAAAACCTAGGGGGCCCTCTTGGGACCATGAAAGAAAAAGAAGGAGAAACAAGTAGAGAGCCCAGAGAAAGAGAAAAAAGTAGAGAGCCACGACAGCTGCCATTCTGCCCCAAAGCACAGTAAGGCGCTGGGCCTTAAGAACTTTCCGCTTCAAGCGGCTTAGAATAGATGGGAATGTCGGACGGGGCTAGGACGAGGATTAATCCGTTCCAGAGCGTTCCAGAACGCCTTCAGAGCGTTCCGGAACGCTCTGAGAAGGCCGCGGCGCCCGAGACATTTTAGAGCCGCTGGATCTCAGAGGTTATCGATTCATCCTCACCCGATGTCATTCTCGCCCTGGCTTCGTCTTTGAATGGGGAGGAAGCCTTTTGCGCAGCTCGGGGGCGGCCACTGGAGAGGCCCGTGCCGCTGGAGAAGATGGTATGGCCCCGTGCCGCGACGGGAAGAGGGGGCGAGGGCGGCCCCGCGGCAGGCCTGCCTACGGGCTCCTCAGTCTTGCAAGCCCCGGCTCCTCGCTCGCGAGGGGCAAGCGTTCGAGGGCAGCTGTGGTAAACGAAGCGATTGGAACTGCGGGGGGAGCTGGGCCCCCGCATCGTTGTCCCCGAGGTGCACAACGTGGTCGTAACTCAGGTTGGGCCCTCTTGGGTGCCTCTTGGGCTCGTGGGGGCCCCCTCGCGGCCGGCTTCCGAGTCATCCCTTGTCACAGCTCCTCGAGTCCCGTCGTCTTTTTCTCCCCGCCAGGAGACGAGCCCATCGAGTCGGCCGTCCAGATGCGGGCACTCTGGGACGAGGCTGGGGCGCCAGGCGGCACGGCACCCCGTCAGCTCTCGCGGTTGGTGCTCGATCGCACAGGGGAAGAAAGAGGGCGGGGGCGAGGGCGATGATAATCACCCTTGAAGACAAGTTGTTCTGGATGTGTGTTGGCTCTTGTTCGGGCTCGCAAGGCTCATCCTGGGTCCCAGGACCGTGAACAAGTCAACTTGGACTGAAAAGCTGGCCCGGGGGTGCATCCCGGGATCCGGCCCCCGCCTTTCACTGTTATGAGTATGGTGATGATGGTGGCGATGATGTTAGTGATGATAATGATCATTATGATGATGATGAATATGATATTGTTGATGATGATGTTGCTGATGAGGATGATGTTGATGCCGATGCTGATAAGTATGATGCTGACGATACTTGCGCTGCTGATGGTGGCGATGCTGATGCTGATGATGATGATTGTGATGGTGATGGGGCATGATCATGATGAAGAGGGGGAGGAGAACGAGGATGAGGAGGATGAGGATGAGGTTGAGGATGAGGATGAGGATGAGGATGATGATGATGATGATGATGATGATGATGATGATGGTGGTGGTGATGGTGATGGTGATGGTGATGATGATGGTGATGCTGCTGCTGCTGCTGCTGATGATGATGATGATGATGATGATGATGATGATGATCATGATGATCATGATGATCATGATGGTGCTGCTGCTGCTGCTGCTGATGATAATGATGATGATGATGATAGTGGTGGTGGTGATAGTTGAGGTGGTGGTCATGATGCCATGCTGGCTGATGTAGACGGTGGTGGTCACACTGCTTGGAGCAGTCCCAGACTCGAGCCTGTACCGAGACAGCCGGCAAATTTCGAATTATAAGCAGCCAGATGAAACATAATGCGTTGGAGTTCCGCGCGGATTTCTTGGTTCTGCGCTGGAGCCCCCTAGCGGCGCCTCAGGCGCCGCTCCTGGCGCGTGGCCCAGTGCCGATCCAAGACATCCACGCAAAACATAAAGTTCATGTGTAAGTAGTTTTCTTTCTCTGAAAGAGGACCCCCCCAGGAGTAATGGTTCCAGGAGCCCGAACCGGGCTCCGTGGTGCCATGTGTGGATTGGATCAGGTGGACCACGCACGAAGTGCAACTCTTTGTTCAGGTGGCTGCAGATTCGTGACCGGATCACATCCAAACACCGGGGGAAGCGGAGATGGGCGGCACAGGCCTTATTTGAGCAGCAGAGATGTTTGGCAAATGGCTCGCAGGCAGGCGAGGCCAGAGACACGTGTGTTGGATGACATACGCAAACATTGGCAGGATGTTCTAGGCATTCTGAGCGCGCGACGGGACAGACAAGGCCCCCCAGAGACGCAACACCCTTCCACGGCGTCCATCCCCGTGGGCGCCCTCTCGAGCTGGAGAGGCGCATCCACGCGGCCGACCTCCCGCCGGTCTTGCTCCATAAGGGAAAAACATACACAGACACAAATCAGCGTCGATTCCCAGCAACATATGGGAAAGTATGAGAAGTAGAGGGGAAGTCGACCATCTATATATATATATATATATTAGTTATATAACATTTATGGGGGGGATCCTGGAACGTGTGTATACTTCTGTGTGACTCCCTGGGCCCCTTGGTTGCTCGCCTCCAGCCTCGCCGCTCGCACACGCGAGGCGGCCTCCTCGAGGCCGGCTCGGGCCCCAGCCTGCAGCCCTCGGCTCGAGGGAAGACACGCTGACCATGACCAGGGTGTCGCGGGTGCTCGTCGACGCCGGCCTTGGCTGGCTACGTTTACGCGCAGGAGTGACCTTCGCGGGAGTGACCTTCGCAGCTGGCCCGCTGGGGTCCCCGGGATCGCCGAACTCGGTACGACAGCAGCAGCTTGTGTGCTTTGATCCTGCCCCCTTCGCGGACCCCGACCACCGCGCACCGCAGGGCACCCCTGCCCGTTAGTCACCTCTGCGCGTTGCCGACCTGGTCGTGGGCCGGGCTGGCCGTCGCCGGCCTGCGACGAGGGTCCACGAGTTGGCGCCGACCGCGACGGACGGTGACCAAGACCGGCACCAACGGTTCCGCTCTCGGTCCTGGCCATGGTCACCCCTTTCCAAGTGAGCATGGGGAGCCACAGGGGAGGGAGGCCAGGGTGAGGAGCGAGGAAGAGGATAAGGGCGATGCAAATGATATTGCAGTCCGGCGGTGGCGCAATCCGTAAGAGGGGGAAGCGCGTTGGAGGCTTGCAACCCGCATCGGAATGATGTAGATTGAGCTCGCCATTCATGTAACGACAGGGCATCACAGCGGATGTGAATCGCCACGGCAAGTGGTAGACAAGTGGTACGCAGGTCTTGGTTACCGTCTTCTTTCCCTCCAGCGTCGATCATCCCTGAGGGCGCGTGCGTCGAGCGCCACCGAGGGCGCCTTCCGATGCCCCCTGGCCGAGGCCAGGCCTCGCCTCGCCACCATGCGCCCTGCGCGTCTCCGGTCGGCGGCCTGGGGCGTCTCCAGCCCGACCCTGGCCACCGCCGCATCTCGGGGGCAGCGTTACGGTCGAGCGGCGTGTCGCGGCGGCGGCCCCGCCGACACATTATACCCTGCAAGCTGACAGCGTGTCGCTCCGCTCCGCGGTGCGGGAGGCTTGGAAAATTTCGGGGCGTTGACACCTAAGTGGATAGCGTGTCGCGCCAAAGCGTGGTGGGCCAGAGCCGGCGGAGCGACACGCCATCCAAACTTTCCCGACTGTACGGGGAGAGGCTCAGGGTGGGGAGGGGCGCATCGACCTCCAGTCGTTCGTTCATCACCGATGGAGGCCTCGTAGCCCACCCCGCCCAGGACCCCGCGGGTTTGCTATGTATCGGGGGCCTGTCGTCGATTGATCGGTGATGTATCGCCGATTGCAGCTCGATGTTTTCCCCCTGAGCCAGTTCCCCCCCTCACGGTTGTGAGCGTTGCTCCAGCATCGGTCCTGCAGGATCATTGCTCGCGACCCGTGTGTTGTCAGCGCTCTCGCTGCGTCTCACTCGGCGGCCGCGATTTAGTCCGTGGCCCCGCCCAAGGCTGCGTGCTGGAATATGGCCCCTTGCCGTGCTTTCTCCCCCTTCGGAGATGAGGACCCTGCATAAGCATGACCTTTTGGAGGTCAGCGCGCGCTGAACCCTCAGGCGGCACCCCTGGCGCGCCGATACAAGACATCCGCGCGAACCGCCGGGAGTGCATGCGTGTGCCGATGCGCAAGAAGGCCCTTCGCTGCCCGGTGCCCGTCCGCTTCGTTGGCGGCCCGGCTCCCCCCGAACCCGACGCCGTAGGTTTTTCACGGCATGGTCCCCCAGCGGTTTGCACGCTTTCCCGGGAACTGGCTTCCCATCCTGAGTCGTCGTGTGACGGTCCCGAGGCCCGGCGAGTGGCGCCCCCCCGAGGCAGCCGTCATTTTTGTTTTCACGGCGTCGGGTGTTCGATCATGGATCTTCTTCTGTTGACCGCAACCGTCCAGCGCTCGCGGTCCAGACCGCCAGGGACGCACGACAGAGGTAGAGTTAGGTCGGGCCTGTCCCCCAACAGGGGGATTTTGGACGAAAAATAAAGAATATTCAAAAAGCACCCCCAGATTTGTCAAAAATAGCGACAAAATCGCCCCCCGACTTTTCTTTGCCTACTTTTGAATATCCCCCCTGTAGGGGGACAGACCCGACTTGAAAGCAGAGACCGCGGCAGGCCGCCACAGAAAGAGAAGGCGAGAGAGAGAGAGAGGGCGCGAGCGTGAGCGAGGCGTATTGCGGCCCCGCGCGCCACTCGGAGGCCCCATGGGGGTCTCTCCGGCCACCCGCGGCCGCGTCGCCTGCACGCCGCTGCCTCCACTCCTGCCCCTGCTCGACCCTGCTCGCCCTCGGCAGGCCCATATCCAGGAGCAGGAGGGCGAGCCCGCGCGAGCGTGCGCCCAGCGAAGCCCTGCGCCGATCGCCTGGACGACGCCGCTGCGACCATCCCGAGGACCAGCGGCCGCAGGCACTCCCGAGCGCCAGCGGCCCGCGCAGCACCCCCACCAACAGGTGATGGGCCTGTTTTCCACCACCACCACCATAAGTCGGAGTGGGGAAGGAGGAGGAGGACGAGGAGGAGGAGGAGGTGGTGGAGGAGGAGGAGGAGGAGGAGGTGGAGGAGGAGGAGGAGGAGGAGGAGGAGGAGGAGGACTCCCTCCCCCTCCAACTGATGGTGGTGGTGGAAGAAAACAGGCTCACTAACAGGCGCGACCACACTGCGAGGCCCGTCGTCGGCCCAGCCGCCCGACGCCCAAGAGGAAGCAGCCTCCTCGATCCTCCCGGCGTCGGCGGCGTGCTCTGTGCTGGCCCCTCCACGGCGCGCGAGCCGCCCAGGCGCCCGACGCCGCCGCGGCATGGACCGTGTGCTGCCGCCAGACTTCGCCGCCGTCGCTGGCAGAGCAAGGAGGCAGCGCCACCCTCATACCACGGGACCTTTTGGCTTCGCGCCGGCCTCGGCTGCGGCGACGCCGACGCGGCACCGCTGCCGAGCCGGTCCCCCCAGCCACCCGCTGCGAGGCCTGCTCGCCTCCGAGGCCGACCGCGTCCCCTGAGATCCGACGCTGCGTCGTGACACGTCGCGACCAGAGCCCTGGACCCCACTGTTTCCTGTTTCGAGCTGGATCGATCTGCGAGGGTCCCGAGCTGAGGCCTCAAATTCGGCGAGCACGCCCGGCGTGAAACATTCTGAGCGCCCCGATCGCGCCAGCATGGCGGAGCGCGCCGCAGCGGGCGCCGCTCGGCGGGGAGAGGAGCAGCCCTGGACGTGCGGGTCGCCCTCGCGGCCTCGAAGAGGCCGCCGTGGAGGACGGCGCAACCCCGCCGCGGCCGCCCCAGTGCGCGGAGAGGCGCGGTCGCCTTGGCGCAGCTAAGGGCTGTCGGCGTGGCCGCGGCAGCCCGAGGCAGGCCCTGCGCCGCCCGCGCCCGGCGGGCCCCCGAGCCACGCGGCCGCCCCCGCTGCGCGGCCAGCTGCGGCGAGTGCCGCTCGCGTGGGGCTCCGCGCGCGCCGCCAGCAACTGCTCGAGCGTCGTGCGGCAGCCGCGCCACGGCCTGGAGGGCCCAGCGCGCGCACGGCGGCGCGCGGTCTGAGCCGGAGTGGCTTCTGAGTCTGGGCGGCTGCGGGGTTGTGGCGAGTGGTTGTCATGGCTGTGATGGGTGATGATGGTGGTGGTGGTGATGGTGGTGGTGTTGTTGTTGGTGGTGGTGATAGCCATGATGGTGGGGATGATGATGATGATGATGATGATGATGATGATGATGATGATGATGATGATGATGATGATGCTGATGCTGATGCTGATGCTGATGCTGATGATGATGATGATGATGATGATGATGATGATGATGATGATGATGATGATGCTGATGCTGATGCTGATGCTGATGCTGATGCTGATGCTGATGCTGATGATGATGATGATGATGATGATGATGTTGATGTTGATGTTGGTGATGAGGAGGAGGAGGAGGATGAGGATGAGGATAAGGATGATGATAATGATGTTGATGATGATGAGGAGGAGGATGAGGAGGAGGAGGATGAGGATGAGGATGAGGATGATGATGATGATGATGATGAAGGTGATGATGGTGATGCTGATGCTGATGCTGATGCTGGGGTTGATGCTGATGATGATGATGATGATGATGATGATGATGATGATGGTGATGGTGATGGTGATGGTGATGGTGATGATGATGATGATGATGATGATGATGATGATGATGATGTAGATGACTGTCGTGATTGCTTGTGGTGGTTTCGTCGGTCGTGACGACGATGGCCATCATGGTGGTGGTGATGGATGGTGATGAAGAGGGTCATGCTGATCAGTATGGATATGTTGCTGATGATGACGCTGATGGTGATGCTGCTGACGATGATGCTGCTGATGATGACGATGCTGCTGCTGATGCTGATGATTCCTTTGGCGGGGGAGGTTGGATCGCCCGAAGCCCGGTCAGGCAGCGCCGAGGGCCTCGGCGGCCTGGGCGCAGCCGGCGCAGGTGCGAGGGCCGCGTCTCGCCGGCGAGCCGGCGGCGGCCCGGGCTTCGGGGGCATTCCGGGGGTGCGTGGAGGCGCCAGCCAGACGAGGAGAGGCCAATACATGCTCGCGCCGTGAGGGAGTCATGACGGAAGTTTGTGGCTGTTTTTTTATGACTCCGTGGGCCCTCGCCAGGCCCCGGTCAGACACGCCCGCGGAGGGGTGTGCGGTCAGAGGAGGAGAATGTACCAATACTGCTGCCCTGGCCTCGTTTTATTATTTTAATTCTGAACCCTCCAAGGAGGCCCTTGTCGACAGAGTTCCATTGCAGGGAGTAGCGGTGTTGGTACCCTCTGGTCTCCCGGGTAGGGGGAGGGGGGAGGGCGCCTTAGAAGCACCCCTGCTTCGTAAAAGGCGCGGGCCTTATTCCCCAATCAGAGCTTGCTTCTGTACGGGTCCTAGCGGATATAAAGCTGAGGTGAGGTGAGCGGCCGATTTCGGTGGCCGGGGCCGGGTGCCCGGGTGCCCGGGGGTGCCCGGGTGGCCGATTTCGGTGGCCGGGCCCGGGTGCCCGGGTGCCCGCGGGTGCCCGGGTGCCCGGGGGTGCCCGGGTACCCGGGGGTGCCCAATAGCCCAATAGCCCAGTAGCCCTATAGCCCTATAGCCCTATAGCCGTATAGCCCTATAGCCCTGTAGCCCTATAGCCTTATATCCCTATAGCCCTAATAGCCTTATATCCCTATAGCCCCATAGCCCATATAGCTCTATAGCCCCATAGCCCTATAGCCCTATAGTCCGATAGCTCTATAGCCCGATAGCCCTATAGCCCGATAGCCCTATAGCCCTATAGCCCAACAGCCCTATAGCCCTATAGCCCTATAGCCCTAACAAACATCTGATTGGGTTTTTTTTTCTCCGGCATCATCTGTAGATGAAGGGCGGCTGGCGCCCTCTGAGAAGATGCCTCCTTCTAGCAGGCCTTCCACCCTCCCCCTGCACCCCCTCGTGCGGTGCGCGCCGCCAGCGTCGCCTCCACGCCCCCCCGGCCCGTCGGCACCGGGCCCGCCCTGGCCATCGGCGTGGCGCTGGTGCGCTGCGCGCTTCCCAAAGCTCGGGGAGGCGTGAGGCCCGAGTTCGCCGGAGCTCGGGCCTGCCAACGCTGTGCGATGGGCTCCCGTTCGAGGCTTGGGCGGCCCAGTCTTCGTGGGGAGTCTGCGCCAGATGTCAGACCGCGTCTCTTCATTTTCCTGCCGGCCCCGTCAAGCCAACCCCAGTCCCCCAAACCCGAGTCCTCGGCATTGCTCGGACGTTTGCATGCTTCCTTCGGCGAGGAGCATCTGGACCATCTAGGAGCGTCTTGGATCATCTAGGAGCATTTTGGATCATTGAGCGGAAACGAAAGCACGCACGGGGAATGGACGTCCGAGCGATGGCAGGAGTCTTGCGCCTCCCCGAGAAGCGGGGCCAGGGTGCAAAATGCGGGGGCGGAGGGCCGCGCCGCACCGCAGAAGCGTCGGCGACGCGGCTCGAGTCCGGGGCGGGGTGGGCATAGTATCGGGGGGGGGACCATCGACCCCCAATCGCCCATTTGTTGCCGACATCGGCGGCGAGCGAGGGGGGGAAGTGAGAAGGGGCGGGCCTTCCTGGAAGGCTCGGAAGTCCTCGGGCCTCCCTACAAGTGGCGTTGCAGATGCATCGCAGACGTCGTCGATGCATCGGCGAAGCGTTGGTGGTGCTGTGGCGATCCTCCGGCCCCATGAGCTCCGGCCCCTCCTGCGAAGCCTCCAGGTGCTGGCTCCGCTGAGCGTGCCGCTGGGCGCCTGGCTCCGGGCGCAGTGACGCGGGCAGCCCGGCAGCTTGCGGGTGCCGGAGGCGAGCAGAGAAGCCCCTGCTCCTTCCCACCCCTCTTCCACCTCCCTCCCCCCCCTCCTCTCCCCCTCCTTTCCCCCTCTCCTCCTCCTCCCCCTTCCTGCCTTCCACCCCTCTTCCTCCCTCTTCCACCTGCCTTCCCCCCCGCCTCCTTTCCCCTCCTCCTCCGCCTCCTCTCTCCCCCTCCCGTCGGAGAAGTCGCCGCCACGGCTATCACAGGGTCGCGCGGCGCAGCAGGTCTGAAGCCCGCTTCTTACGGCCTGTTTCTACACACATGGTCTTGGGCGCACGGCTGGCCGCAGATGCCGACCCCTTTTTCTGCCTGCTCTACTATACATACCGCTCCGTGCGTGCGGAAGCGGGATTTTGGATTTGGCTGGTGAACGCCCTTTTTGCGATGTCGTCGGCCTACCAGGCACTCAGCTGAGAGAGCTTGACCAGGAACGATACAGGATCCAGACGCTGCAAGATCGACTGGTAGTACACTCAGGATGGCGCGTAGGCGGGTTCTCGAATCGGGCTGCTAGCTGCTCTGTTCTCCTCCCTCCCCGGTGGCAGTCTCGACGTGTCCGGCGAGTGGATACTCCAGGGGTTGCTCTTCAGGGCTGTGGAGTCGGCGTCGAGATCGCGAAAGGGGGCTCTTGTACGATATCCTCGTGCAGCACTGCCCCCCCCGAAGCCTGGCAAAGCATGCACGGTCAAGATCTACACGGCATCATGTGACCAATTCCTTTCCTGGGCCCAGGTCCGATTTAGAGACCTCCCTGCTCGAGTTCATCTGGTTGTTCTGACTGATGTGTTCGATGGCGTCGGCACTTCGAAACAGGCGGGGATGTGGCAGGATGTCGAGACATCGGCGGTGGGTCGAGTTCGAGGTCGCGAGTTGCATCACCGAGGGTCAGGGGGAGAACGTTGGATTGTAATTGGAATTGTGTGGCATTGTATCTCTCTCTCTCTCTCTTACCACGTCTCGTTCGTACTCACCTATCTTCTATATGTCTGCGGGCGGGCACCCAATGATCGACCATATCGGCAATGTTTTTGTTTCTGATAGTATCCGAAAAGGTTGTGCGTGCGTCTCCCATGCACAGGCTTGGCAGGTGGCTCCAGGTGATCAAATCAAGAGCTCCTCCGGACCATGTGCCAGTAATGGTTAAGATACGCGTCCCACACGTCGCACTGGCACAACAGCCTCGTTCTCCTCCATCTCCTAGTTGGCATGGGTGTCCGTCGGCGCAGTGGGATAGGGATCGTCTCATGAAGGGTACCCGAGGTGTTCATGAGCTCGAACAGCTTGTGAGAAGGCTTGAACAGAGGCTTGAAGAGGCGTGGCCCACGGTTGCAGAGGCTACCTCCAAGCCCGATCATATTGTATTTATGCTTGATGAGGTGCTACGTGATGAAGGCAGTCAGGCGTTTAAACCGGGAACGGCCCCCACATCGCAGCGCTCAGTGTTTACTTCTATTCGGCTCTCCCTTTTGGCGAGCGCTCACACACCAGACGAAGAGTTCACTCAGTGTTGTGAGCAGTTGGGTTTGATTACTTAGCAGTGCAAACAGCAGGCGAAGGCAGAGAAGAAGCAACGGCAGGAACAGATCGTAGAGGAGATCTGGGCATCTTGGAGGGCTCGTGACTCTTCGGCAGTTCACAGAATATCTCTTCGTCTACATGGGCACCGCTATGGACAGGGAAGAGGGATTACATTCGCCTGGACGGCATGCTCCCCAGCACTAGCGAGTGGATGGAGCTGTTGGCGCCACCTGGCGGCGAAGCGGGGATCTTGCTCCACGACAGGTGACATGACACGGGATGAAGTTTGTATTCAGCGTGAGCTCGGGGGTCGACCTCGCCCCCGTTTCAACAAGAGCTCGCTGACCACCTTCAGCGCTCGCATGCACGAGTTATGTTCAATAAGGACACGTTGTGCAGAGCCATGTTTCGTGCACCGAAGCGGAGAAGCGTTCCTCCATGGTCGTTGCGTTTTGAGCATTGGCATCTGTCGATCAACCTGCCTCGCTCTGCTCGTCCCCCAGAAGAGTCTCGTGCTGGCTTGGGCAGTGAAAGTATTGTCACGGAAGGCTCGTTCGTCAGGAAGTGGTTGCGCAAGGCATGTATGATGATTATGTTCTGGAATACGGAAGCGTATTTTTGGATTTGCAATTGCTGCTAAGCTATACCGAAATCAGCGGTCCCAGGGCCAAAGAGTGAATATATGTGCACAGGCTGGATCTTCTCAGCAAAGGGTTTTACGAGGGCATCATGAGGGTGGGGCCCGCATTCCAGAACTCGGAGTGTGACCGCGGGATCTTGAAGTCCAGGCAGAGATAGAGGATGCGATTTTGAGTAACATGTTCACTTCCTGGGGGGCCCTCTGCTTCGGGGTTTTCGTGGTGCGATTCGCTGGAGGACCTCGACCTTCGCGTCGTCACACTGGGCCTGTCTGGACGAGGCGTGCACCACCATGGCGTAGCCCCAGAATCGCTCGTTGTGCCGTCAGAGGTTTCGCTGCTCGGGATGTGTATTGCCGTCATCCGAGAGCCCGCTCTTTATTGTTCCAGGGTGCGCTCCATGGAGATCCACTTGGTGTGCGATCCTTTGTTCGGATGCTCAAACCTTCAATGGACGCCGGCTTCAAAAATGCGCTGGGAAGGCCCGAGGGCGAGAAGCTTCTCTGGGCCACCCTTCCTGAGGAGGTGCTGGCAGGCCACTCGCAGATGTACCCAGGGGTCCAGAAGTTAGCAGATGAACTTCTTAACAATAACAAGCTGCACAACGACATAATGAACTTGTCGCAAGGCCCCCGTTCCCCCTCCAGATGGTCCAGGGTCAGTTGGCCCAGAACGACCTCCCTTTAGACGCTGAGCTTGTGGCCTCCTGGGTGCCTCTGGAAGCCTCCTGAAAGCCTTTCGGGGGAGAGGGTTGGAGATGTCCGTTCGGATCCCCCGCCGGGGCCCCTTCTTGGAACTCTTGGACGCCTCAAGAGCCGTCCTGGCGCCCTTCGGGGCCGGTTGGGGGCCCTCTTGAAGGCAGTTTGGGCCGTTTTGGGGTGATTTGGGATGCCGCATCGGGCCGTCTCTGAGCGTCGGGAAATCGGAAAAAGTGAAAAAGACCAAAACATAGAACAACTTTTAGGAACATCGATGATTTGGCACTCGGAGGCCTCCTGGAACGCCTTGGGCGCAGTTGGACGCTATCTTGGGCGTCTCAGACCGATTAATTGGCGATTCGGGGCCCTTTCGCACCGTCATTGGGGCCTCTCAGGACCCTCCTCGGCCCATCTCAAGGCGTTGCGCCCGAAGAAATCATGCGGCAAGACGCCGGGGACCCCTGGGGCCTCGCGGCGCGCCCCAGGAGATTTGGCAATTCTGGGCCCTGGCCCTCGAAACAATCCGTTGGGTTGAGGACTGAGGCTCCAGGGGATCCCACAAGGGACCTGGAGATATTCCAATCCGTGCGTCCTGGGCACGTTGGCGGGTCTTATCACACACACACACACACACTGATGGTTGCTGCGAGGACGTCGCGAAGCTGCTGGGCTCGTGCGACTTTCCCTTTGCGCTGTCAGCGTCGGTCGAGCTTCAGCGACAGACCGAGACCGCCGATGTGCGGATGCCTCCCGAGTCTGACGAGCTGCTGACGCCGAACGAGACCGCTGATATGTTGCAGCAGCAAGGCGTGAACGACGAGACCCAGCACCAGATCTTAAGCAACCACTTCGACTGTCTCACCGCGCACGTCCTGAACGATGACTGCTGCGACGACTTCTCGAAGAAACACATACGCGCCCCCTTCGCTTCCACCTGTGGCGTCTTCGCCGGCTACTTTTCAATACTTCAAGAACAACCGCGGTCGCGCAGCACCTGATGGTGGTGAAAGAGCCCCAGAAGGCATTTTGACTGGAAGGTCTACGTCTTCACGTTGCCAGGCCAGCTCACGCTGTCAATCGCCTTCTGCGCCGCTCGCCCAGCTGCCAAACAATCTCGGCTGAGTCGGGCGGTTCGGAGGCACGCATCGCCCTCCAGGATACTGTCATTCTTCCTCCTCCTCCTCCTCCTCCTCCTCCTCCTCCTCCTCCCAATCACAAGAAGGAGGGGGAGGAGGAGGAGGAGGAGGAGGAGGAGGAGGAGGAGGAGGAGGAGGAGGAAGTGAAGGAGGAGGAGGAGGAGCTTTCAACAGGCGTGGCGGCTAGGCGGATGAGGAGCAGGAGGAGGGCGAGGAGGAACATGAGAACGAGCAGGAGGACGGGATGAGGAGGAGGAGGAAAAGCAGGAGGAGGACGGGAGGAGGAGGAGGAGGAGGGGGAGGAGGAGGAGGAGGGGGAGGAGGAGGAGGAGGAGGCGGAGGAGGAGGAGGAAGAGGAAGAGGAGGAGGAGTGGGGGAAGATGTGCCTCCTCCTCCTCCTCCTCCTCCTCCTCCTCCTCTTTGGCTGTCCTCCCGTGGGCGTTCCCAGCCTCCGTGCTCCCCTGCCTGCAGTTCCCCCGCTGTCCCGCCCAAGCTTCGCCCGCCCCCGTCGCGCGTGCCTCCCGCTGCCGCCGCGGAGGCGCCCGAGGTGGCGAGAGCGGCAATCGACTACGTGTAAGAGGGCCCCTTCGTTGCGGTGACCCTTGGTGCGGGCCCACTGGGGCAATCTGACCTTGCGCACCAAAGGGTCGCACCCCACACCGGCGCCCACGTGGCCGAGGGAAAAGAGGGAGTCCCAGAGGGGTTCGGAGTCGCCCAGCTCGGAAAAGAGCGAGTGCAAGGGCGAAGCGGCAGCAAGCTGTGGCTCCAGGGAGGGCAGGCTGCCGCCACAAGCGGGGCCTTGGAGGCCGAGGCAGGGGCGGGGACGCCGCCCTGGTGTGACGTGCGAGTGCTGTGGGAAGAGCCTGTTGCGGAGCGCTTCCGTCGTCGTTGTCGCCGTCTTTGCGTCGTTGCGCTCGTGCGTCCGTCGTTGTCGTCCTCGCCGTCGTCTTTGGTCGTTGCCGTCATCACCATCTTCTGTGGCCGCCTGTCATCGCTTCAGCCTAGACCTCGCGCCCTCTCGGTGTGCGCGGCTGGCCAACCGAGATTCCGAGAATCCGACTCCAAAGTTTGGAGGCATTAGCGCGGGGAGCCCTTCCGGGCGCATCGCGCAGCTCAGCGGCGAGGAGCCCCAGTGCACCTTGTTGAAGGTGGTCGCATCGCCCCAGCACGCCTGACGAATTCGCGAGGATGGCCCGCTATGCCGAGGCGATAGCGGGCCGACGAAGGGGCAAGCGGTGCCATGTGAAGTAGGCAGGTCCGCAAGGGCTGTCGGAACCCTCCGCCGGCTCCTTGGCCAGGGGAGGCCGACGGAGGGGACAGGCAGTCCCACGAGACGTCGGTGACGGAGGTGGGCAGCCATCAGCCAACGCCGGCCCCGCGGCCAGGAGAGGCAGACGGCGAGGCAGCCCAGCGGCGACAGGGGCGCAGCGAGAGCGGCAACCCCGCTGGAGGTAAAGACAGCGAGGGCAGGGGCCCCGCAGCCAGCGAGAGCAGCGAGGGTAGCACAGCTGGCGCCAGGGTTGAGAACGACCCTAGCCTTGGAGGGGGACCCCCGTGTTCTTTGCGTTTGGGCTCCCCACCTTAGCACGCTTTTTGTTTTGGGTACCTCCGCGGGGCCTTGGGCCTTCGGCGAATGGGTTCATGTTCTTGACCCGCGTTCTTCTGGCTCCCTTTCGATTCCAACACACAGGGGAGGACGACAGTGAAGACATGGACCCCGCAGACAGCGAACACACCCAAAGTGAGGGCAGCTCCCACGTTGAGGGGCGACTTCAGGTGTGGCAGTCCGAAGCGCCAGACGCCATTTCGAGTAGTGCAGAGCAGGTTGTCGAGAGGCCGATCTGCCGAGAGACCGATCTGCCTCGAGGTGCACGCTTGGCGCGACGCGACGGCCGAGGCTGGCATGGCGCAGCGCACGCAGAAAAGTGCCAAGCAGCGGTGGGCCTTGTCTCTGCTGTGCCCGAGGGCACCCGATCCCTGTGCGCCCGCCGTTCTTCGCCACCGCGCGCATTTGGAGCGAGGCAGCGGCGTAGCGGCGTAAAAGAATTTCCTCCTCTTGCCCTCCATCCTCCCTCCATCCTCCCTCCTCCTCCTCCTCCCCCTCCTCCTCCTCCTCCTCCTCCTCCTCCTCCTCCTCCTCCTCCTCCTCCTCCTCCTGCCACCCCTCCTCCCTCTTCCTTTTCCGTGCTGGTGTCGTCGAGTGCGTGTGCCGTGTGCTGACAGTTAGTTCATGATTTCTCGCCCCCCGGCCACGGGCACGAGCAAAGGCACGCGCAAAGGCAGCACATGAAAACTCGATGTTTCAGCGCTGTTTCATCACTTGTTGCGATGGTTGCAAGATTGGACTGCTTTTGGCCAGGTTGCTCTGGCGTGTTGTTCCCGTGCATCATCGGCGCGGTCCTTCCCAGGGGCGGCGGGAGCGCAGGCCCCTGCGGGTCTTCACAATCCAAGTTTCCCCCCCTCGTCCTTGGGTGTATCTCAAGGCGGTGGGCAGCGGAGCTCGTAAGTATCAGGAGCCATATCTGGCGGCGGATGTTGTGTGATTGCGCGTGTGCGGCAGCCAGCGGCTTTGGCTCCATCGTCCGTGCTACTGCTATGCAGAAGCCTCTGGCGTTTAGTTTCTCGTATCCGGCTGGTTGGATGGGAAGGAATGGAATTATTGGTTGTTGTTTGCTGCGTTGTGGATGTGGCGCCATCTTCTCGACTGCACCTGCCTCGGCTTCCTGCGTATCGGGCGTCATGCTGTATGGGGGAGTTCGTTCGTGGTGTCATGTCGGCGTTCCTCGGGCTTCCTCTTTCCCGTCCGCCGTGTGCGGGGTGCTGCGCGTCACCATCCAGATCGCCTGTAACTTTTCGGCGGCGAGTGAAGGGGAAGTGAGAAGGAGAAGGCCTTCTCAGAAGGCGGCGTGACTTCTCATAATCCTTCGCGGCTTCTCAGAAGTTTTCTGTGTCTTCGGGGAAAGCTTAGACAACTTTCGATAAGGCCCGCCTCTTCTCACCCCCTCCCCCCCGGGTTCGCCGCCGAATTTCGACAAGCTCAGGGGATAGCATCTAGTTTGAACTCGCTTCGCGGCAGGTCTTACTTTATCTTATATTACCGTATGTTACTTTACCTCCTCCTCCTCCTCCTCCCCCTCCCCCTTCTTCCTCCTCCTCCACGTCCTCCCTCCTCTTCCTCCTCATCCTGCCCTCATCCTGCCCTCCTCCTCCTCCTCCTTCCATCTTCCTCCTTCCATCTGCCGCCGTCCCCTCCCCCTCCGCCTCCCCCCCCCCCCCTCTTCACGCCCTCCAAGCCTCCCCCTTTCGTGCCCCGTCTGCTCCTGTGGCGCGCCGCCAGCTCGCCGCCCGTGCATCGGGTGAGCGCTCGGCGGAGCAGGGGGAGGAGCGGAAGGGCGCGATTCACCCCTCGCCGTCGTCGTCGTTGTCGTCGTTTTCCTCCTCCTCTGCCTCTCCCACCCCCCTCCTCCTCCTCCTCCTCTCTCTCCTCCTCCTCTTCCCTCCTCATCTCCTCCTCCTCCTCCTCCTCCCCCTCCTCCTCCTCCTCCACCTCCTCCTCCTCTTTCTGCTCCTTCGTCTTCCATTCCTTCTCACATGCCAGAAGAGTGGGGCCTCAGTCGAGCCGTTCACTGTTTGCATCATCTTGGTGGGTCTTTTTGGCGGTGGATTTCAGGATCCGCCTCCTCCTCCTCCTGTTCCGTTCCACCCCTCCTCAGCAACGTGTCCAATCCGCCAACAAGGCGAGATCATGCGCCCTTTTCTGTTGGCCTCAGGCGTGGTTGTGAGCGAGGGATTGCATTGCACAGCGAGGGAGGATCGGCGCCCAGGGGTCTTCTCTAATCTTACATGCCCCTCCCATCCTCCTCCTCCTTCCCATTTTCCTCCTCCTCCTTGTCTTCCTCCTCCTCCTCCTCCTCCTCGTTCTCCTCTTCCTCGCCCCCACTCATCTCTCCTCCTCCTCTTCATCCTCCTCCTCCTCCTCCTGTTCCTGTTCCTCCTCCTCCTCCTCCTCCTCCTCCTCCTCCTCCTCCACCGTAGCCTCCGTAGCCATTTGGGCTCGAGCTCGTTGGGGGACCCTGCCTCCCGTACCCCGCGGTACCTCGGCACCCTCTCTCGCTCGCGTGCCCAAGACGATGGGGCCCTTGCGATCCTCGCGTCCAGCTGTCAGCGGGCCCTGTATTTCTTCGCCACGCATCAGGCAGGCGCGGCACGTCACCACCATACGCGACGGCTGATTTCGTTCGCCAGGGGGCCGCCTCTCGTCGCCTAGACAAGCGGGTGGTCACGCAGCTGGAGGGCCTTCATCACGCGGGCAAGGTTGTGCGCCACCTCACCAAGTTCCACGCCGACATTGTCCTTGTTAAGCTGGAGCGCGAGCTGGGCAGGCTTCTGGGTGCCGATTTTTCTGGAAGTGATGTGCATGGTGAGTGCTATGATGGTGGCGACGACCTTCGTATTCATGGCGACCATCACGGAGCTGCTGACCTATAGGGGGATGTTGCTCTTCATGGTGAGGCCCGCAAGGCCACGACGCAGACGCGCCATGGGAACATGCATCATTTCGAATTGGCCGATGGGGTGGATATGGAAGGGGGCCGCCCTCGCGAGCATGGGGAGGATTTCTTCCCTGAAGCTGCCTTTCATGGGGACGCTGATCGCTGCGGGGTTGCCGACGGTGATGGCGCTCTTCCTGGCTGGGCCGATGGAGATGCTAGTCTGCAGGACGCTGCCGAGGACGGAGGGGTCCTTTTTCATGGAGCCGAGCCGCTGATTTTCCAGGAGCCGCTGACGCCCGTCATCGTGCGGCTTTTCCTGGAGGAGCCGATGGTGTGGCTGATCGTCAGGGCGTTGCCGAGGATTGACTTGACGTTCTTCGTGGCGCATCGGGTCTGCATGGAGCTGATAGCGATTGTCTCTGCGGGGCTGCTTCGGGCGATGCCGCTCTTCTTGGAGATGCCGGTGGAGATGCTGACCTTCAGGGAGCTGCTGGGGATAGAGGTGTCGTTCTTAGCGGACCAGCTGACCTTGAAGCCTTCAGGTTGCTATTGCGGACGGAGGTGCTGATGTTCATGGAGCTGCTGTTGGGTGCGGGTGCCGTTCGTCATGTTGTTCATTGCTCTTCTCCCGGTGGTTGGCCTTGCGGTGATCGCACGTATGACGATGACATTTGCAGGGGCCTCCCGCCAGACATCAAGGCGATCCTCAAGGAGGCCGAGTAGTTCGTGCCTAACCAGTTGCTGCAGAAGTATGCTTGCGAAGCGGCTGCGAGGAAACGCAAGAGGACGTTCAAGATCCATTGTGACGCATGGACATTTTCAGTGTGGGATGGGCTCTCGGCCACGTCACCATTAAGCCATTCGGGTTCTGCGGGGTCGAGGCTGTCCACTTTTTTGCGTCGCTGCAGGGAGTGTGAGTACTTCGTGGTGTTCGGCGGCTTCGTGTCCGAGGGCTAGCACCGCCGCGCTTGTCGAGAGTCCAGCCGTGAGCAGTCGGATGAACAAGTTCACGCCAACTTTCTGTCCACACTTCGATATGCGCCAGCTTCTCTCGGGTTGCTTCCACATGCTGGCAGATTCATGGGGGCTTCTGCGGAGAGGATTGATCTGATCCTGCTCGTATTTTGTTTGTGCATACCGGATCCCCCAGTCAGGTAACCGCGTGTTCAGACAACAAAATCCTCCTCCACCGTAGCCAATTGGCTCGCGTCAAGTCACTGGCTCGGGAGTCGTCCGCGCGCGTGGCCTCTCCGATGCCACCATGGCGCTGAGGAGTCATATTATCCGTTCTGCGGCCGCGCTGGTGGCTGTTCTCGTGGGGCACCCAGCGATGACAGCAGCTGCGCGTGGTGGCCGATGGTGCGAGGTGGAGGTCGAGAGCACGGACCCAGCCTCCCGCAGCGCTGCTGCACAGCGCCGCCGCCTCCTCGACAGGGTCAAGGCCCTGACGGCCGTCGACGCCTCGGACAGGCAGCGGGCGTGCGCTCGGCCCCTGTCCACGCGCGCCCCGGCCCGACTTGAGCGGGAGAAGGGGCGGAACTTGATGGCGCAAGCGCCTCAGACGCTCGTCGACCTCTCTGGGCGCTGATGTTGTTGATCGCGAGATCTTTGCCCCTGGAGCTCGCTCTGCCCCTGCAGTTGGACTTCTAGCCAGGCGATGGGCTTCGAGCTCCACTCGTGTAGTGGGCCCTATCGGGCCCGCTGGTTCCTGGGCGCGCGCGGCCGCTCTCGCGGCCTGGCGGATGTCCAGGGGGCGCAGCAGGCACTCCGTCGCCTCCTCCTCGCAATGCCTGCCGACAGGCGCCGTGGAGGCGGATTTCGTGCTCGTCCAGGCCTACCTGGGAGCGGGGCGGCGGGCGGCGCTTTGCCGCCGGCCGGCTCTCTCCTGAGCTTTGTGCCGCGAATGGGGCAGCTGGTTGCGTGCAGACTCTGCTGAGCAGCGGCTCGGACCGAGAGGGCGACGACCCCGATGACCTGCTGGGGCGACCCCCTGCTGCGCTCGTGGCAGCCACTGAGACGAGCCCGATGTCGACGACAGCGAAGTTGGTCGAGCCTCTGAGTGCGCTGCCGAAGACGGAGCCTCAGGCGTCGTGCACGGACGCTCTCGCCCAGCCCTGGGCGCCTGGGCGCTGGCAGAGGGCGTCGGGCGTTCTCTCCACCCCTGCCCGGGCGAATGGGCAGCTGCTGGATGCGGAATGGCGCCGTAGCGAACAGCGGGAGGAGGACCCGCATCTTGCCACAATGACCGATGATGAGGCTTCGGTGGTCTGCCGGGACTTTGACGCCCCCTGCGTCCGCGTGGCCCACCCCGAAAGTGGGCTGACTGGGGCGCGCTACCAACCGGTGCAGACTCAGCTGGAGGCGTCGCCAACGCGACTGGACACGACGTCGGAGAGGCTCTCGAAGACGCAGATGGTGACGGCGGAGGTGTTCGCACACCATTTGAAGGAGGCGGTCATTGGGGCCTTGATGCGGCCAGTTGAGCTCCGCATCGACGCACTCGAGGCGAATCCCACGACCGTTCGTGCCGAGTTTCTTCGAGGCGATGCGCGTGCCGATCCACTTCCAGAAGACGTTCGAGCCGACTCTCCTTATGAAGGCGTTTGTGCTGATAGTCTTCCTGCTAACGTTCGAGATAGGCTGGCCGCGCCTCATGGGGGACGTCGCCATTCAGACGATGGCCCTGCTGATACCTGCACACATCTTCTGGGAATGGCGCAGGAGATTCAGACCCCGCCCACTTTCTCAAGCTCAACTCGGCGTTCCTGTACGTGCCGACCTTATTCCCGGCGTCGTCTGTGCCGGTCTTCCTCCTCATGATGCTCGCGCCGATGTGTTTCCAGAGGGCGTTCGAGCCGATCCTCTGCCAGGTGATGCCCGTGCCGATCCGCTTCCAGATGGCGCGCAGGCCGATATTCGGCCAGATGACGTCCGTGCTGGCACTCTTCCTGAGCACGTGCGAGCCGCTCTTATTCCAGACGTCGCTCGTGCCGATCTTCTTCTTCTTCTTCTTCTTCTTCTTCTTCTTCTTCAGGATGCTCGCGCCGATGGAGCCGATCTTCCTCCTGCAGGCTATCGCCCTGGGCGCCAGGGCGCGCCCCTCCGGAGGCTTTGTGTCCCAAGGTGCCTGACGCCACGGGACGCAACCGCGCTGGCGGGAGCCCGAACTCTTTTGCCTGAAGGCTTTCGAGCTGAAGCCGATCGCCATCCAGATTGCGGTCTTGCCGCTCGTCCCCCAGAAGATGTATGTGCCGATTTTTTTTTTCTGCATGACGGCCACGCCAGTAATCCTGATGCCGGTCGTGGTGGTCTTCTCCCAGGTGCCGCTGGTGCTGGCCTGCTTCCCACTGGTGCTCGCGACCGTCGGAAGCGTCGCAGAGAATCAGCGGCCGCGGCGAATCAGAAGGCCGCGCGACGAGCTGAGCTGAGGAGGAGGAGGCGGGCCGCCTCGGCGTCTGACGCGAGCACCGCGGCTGCGGCCCTCTGGGAAAGGCCCCTATGGATATCAAGAGGTCCACCACCATGACGAGCCAGAGTGCGTCGTACAGGGTCCAGGAGTACACAGCGACCCGCGTAAGGCTCCTGGAGACTAGGCTCCCTCCATTTCCTCCTTCCTTCGCCGCTCCTACCTCTTCCCCCCCGCATGTCTTCTACCTCCATGCGCGTCCACGTAGACGATTTAGCGCAGCGCGCGCGTGAAACATGTGTGTGTGATCCCGTAGTTCAGTTTAGTTTTGTTTTGGAAGACGCACGCCCAACCTCCTCCTCCTGCTCCTCCTCCTCCCCTTCCTCCTCTTCCTTCTCCCTTCCCTCTTCTTCCCCTCATCTCCCTCCTCCTCCTCCTCCTCCTCCTCCTCCTCCTCCTCCTCCTCCTCCTCCTCCTCTTTGTTCTGGGGGGGGCAGCAGCGCTCAGTGCCTCCGCAGCGCGCCGCGCGCTTCGGGGGCGGTCGAGGACCCGCGGCTGGACCTCTTCCCCTCCGCCGCGGAGCTGCGGGGGCGCGGCCGCCGCGCCCCGCGCGGCCCCAGCCGCGGCTGCTGCTGGGGGGCAGCATGGGGCACACGGGGAGAGGGATCGACGAGGTGCAATGGTTTCGGGCGTGTTCGTCGGTTGCCTCGGGGTGCTCTCCAGCGGATGCGCCTCGCCGAGGACGCTCCCACGGGGTGCCCGTTGTCGTCCCGAGCGGCCGCTGGATAGCCAGAGTGATGACCCGAACGCTAAGGGCGGCGGGGGCAGGATGAGGGTGGTAGAGGGAAACTGGGGAAGGAGGGCGACGAGGACGAGGACAGGGGCGGAGGGGGGCGGGGGGGGGCAGGGCCGGGCGGGTGGGCAGAGACGACGAGGACGAAGACGAGGCGGGGAGCGCGAGGAGGCGGAGAAGGACGAGGCGGACGGTCGGGGGGAGGGGGAGGACGAGGAGGAACGGACAGGGAGAGGACGAGGACGAGGACGAGGACGAGGAGGGGGCAGGCCGTGGCAGCACGAGTTGCTCCCTCGGAGTTTCTGGGCCCCGGGGTTAGGGCGCAAGGGGCGGGAGGGCCCGAGGAGACCCCCGGGGCTTCTGCGTAGACTCAGGGAGGGGGCTGGAGGAGGAGGAGGAGGAGGAGGAGGAGAAGGAGGAGGGGGCCGGAGGAGGAGGGGGAGGAGGAGGAGGAGGAGGAGGAGGGGAGGAGGAGGAGGAGGAGGAGGAGGAGGAGGAGGAGGAGGCCCGACCAGCTGCAGGCACCGCTCCCGCCGCCGCCCTCGCCCTACGTCGGCGGTCGCTTTAGCAGTCCTAGCAGTAACAGTAGTCACGGTAGCAGCAGCAGCAGCAGCAGCAGCAAACAGGATTTGTGGATGATCTGGATTCTGTTGGGCACGAACGGGGGAGGAGGAGGAGGAGGAGGAGGAGGAGGAGGAGGAGGAGGAGGAGGAGGAGGAGGAGGAGGAGGAGGAGGAGGAGGAGGGAGGAGGAGGAGGAGGAGGAGAGGAGGAGGAGGAGGAGGAGGGGGTGGGGGGGGGGAGGGCGAGGAGGACGAGCGACGAGGAGGTGGGGTCGAGGGCCGAGGATCGGGGCTCGGCGTCAGCCTCGGGTCGCCCCGCTCCGTGCCCCTGGAAGCCGTCAGGAGTGAGTCTCGGACGAAAGCTGGCCAAGATGGAAGTCCATAAGGACGGGCTCTCAATGGATTTCGGTGCCCCTCGGAGGAGGAGGTGGTCGCGCGGGGCTAGGCTGAGGATAAATCCGTTCCAGAGTGATCCAGGACGCTCTCTGTGCGTTCCGGAACGCTCTGAAGGCCGCTGCGCCCGAGACATCCTCCAAAGCCGCTGGATCTCGGAGATTCTCAATTTATCGTTATCCGATTTTACCCTTGTCCTGGCTTCGTCTTATCTCAATAGATGTTGGCCGCAGTCCTTCTGAGGAGGAGGTGGGGGGAGGAGCCGCGGCAGAGGCAGCAGCAGCGGGGAGCAGACAGTTCACCGATGGGTATCCCTGCATGGCTTCGTCAATATGGATGTTGCACTCCACAGTCGCTCCCCAGCAGGACAGGGAGGAGGGAAGACGGAGGAGGAGGAGGAGCAGCAGCAGCAGCAGCAGCAACAGCAGGACAGCTGGTCGATTAGGAGGACGAAGGCAGCAGAGGATTGACCAGGGAGGATTGCGGCGTGGGTAGAAGGAAGGACACATGGAGGAGATGGAGCGAGAGAAGGAGCGGCAGGGAGGAGGGGCAGGGCATGGGACGGGGGACGGGGATCCATGAGGACGAGGACGAAGGGGTAAAGCAGGGAAAGAGGTCGGTTTGGGTGGGGCGGTGGGGCGCACATTCGGCGTCAATGGCCCTTCGTCGCGGCGGCGCGGAAACTCGGCCGTCGGCCTTCACTCATTCGAGACAGCCCTGTTGCCCCAGGGAGTCGGCGAGACTCTGCCGATGCAGGGGATCGGTGCCGACACCGATCGAGCGCTCGAGCGGCGTCTCTGGGCCCCGCTCGCTCTCGCTGGGCGGGGCAGCGAACACAGAGGCACTGGCCCCTGGTACTCCGCACTCCGCATTCCGCACTGGTAAAACTGATGCTGGACAGCGGGGACCTGCTGAAATGGGACAAGCTAGTACAACGAGCACACGAAACCAAACGAGGGCTCAGGCGAGCAACGCCGGGCAGCGAACAAAAACAACATCGGCAGGCACGGGCAGGTGGGAAGCAAAGCAGAGCAGCGCGAAGCAGCACGTGGACAAACAAGGGCTGCAGGGAGCACACACAAACACCGCGAAGCAACACGACGGCTGATGTGGAACACCACAGAGTGGCGCGAAGCAACACAGAGCAGGACGAAGCGAAACGAGGGCTCAGGGGCGCAAAGCAAAGTAGTGCGGAGCAAAGCGAAGCAACACATGGGCGAACGAGTGCTGAGGGGAGCAAAACTGAGCAACGCAAAACAAAACGACGGCTCTGGGGAACACAACAGAGCAGCACGCAACAAAACATAGGCAGACGAGGTTTGACGGGAGCCAAACAGAGCAGCACAAATCAACACAACGGAGAATGAGTGTAGGGCGATTATGTTCCCTTGCTTCGTTCGTCGCGTGCATTCGGGAGGATAGCCCTCTTGAGGGGCAGCGGATTTCGATACTGGGAATGCGATCGAACCTTCAGGCTATTTCGTTGCGGCGAGAAAAAAACAGCGGTGAACGAGGGCTGACGGGGAGCAACACAAAGCAGCAAGGAGCAAACAAAAAGGCAAACGAAGGTTGGCGGGAGCAACACACAGTAACATTGAGCAGACTGACGGTTGATGGGGAGCAACGCAACGCAGCACGAAGCAGAGCAGTGGCAAACGACGGCTGACGGGAGCAACACAGCACGGAGCAACACATAGGCAAATGAGGGCTTGGGGAGTGCAAACCAGGTGTCACCGATGGCTGATGGGGAGCAAGATACGGCAGCACGAAGCAACACATGGGTAGCGAGGGCTGATGGGGAATACCACAGCGCAGCACGGAACAAAACAAGAGCGAATGAGGGTCGAGGGTAGCAACACAGAGCAGCACAAACCAACACAGGGGCAACCGAGTTGTATGCCCAGCTCCCTTTTGGGATTGACATGAGTCATTTACGTACTGGTGCGTCAAACAGTGGGTGCACGAGAGAAGTGCATCGTGTCCGCTTGAAGTTTGACCTTTGCGTTTGCATGTGAATATTTGGCCGCGTTCGCTCGTCCTTGGTCGCGTTGCTTAAGTATTCATCCTGTTTTCGCACCCCTTTGGCCTGTCCCCTGCCAACCTCTCCCCCAAAAAAGGGGAGGCGGGCGGCATGGACGGGACAATGGGGGCGGACGGGGCGAAACGGAGCGGCGGAGAGAAGACGCAACCATGAGGACGACGAGGCGGCGCAGCAATAGCAGCAACATGGGGGAGGGGCTAGAATGCGGATGAGTGCAATGACGATGGCAAGGAAGGCGATGATAATGATGACGAGCAGGATGACCAGGACAAACAGGAGGACGAGGGGGGAGAGGACTAGACGTGAGGGAGAAGGGGGAGGGAGGAAAAAAGTGAGGGAGGAGGAAGAGGAGGGAGGGAAGGGAGAAAGAAGGGATGATGAAGACGAGGGAGAGGGATAAGGGGGAGAGATCAAGGGAGATGGAGGAGGGAGCCGGGGGGTGGGCGGAGCGGAGCCCGTTGCGGAATGCGAGCGGCAGCTACAAGATTTGATGAGACATCGAGCGCATCGCCCCCGACGAGGAGGCAAAGGAAGAGAATGTGGAGGAGGAGGAGGAGGCAGAGGAGGAGGAGGCAGATATAGCAACGCCTTTGTGCGTCGCCTGCATGCGTGAAAATGGCCGTGTTCACAGCCAAACCGCCGTGAGCATGGTCGTGTTCACGGTGATGTCTTCCAAAAACATACGTGCTTATATTTCCCAACCGTCTTGTGGTGTTGGGTCGTCGTTTTGAAGACACAGCGCCCCGCGTTCTCCTTCTCCCGCTGCCCCTCCTCCCTCCTCCTGTCCCTGCCTCCTGCTCCCCGCATTTCGGCACACCCCTCCATCGGGAGTTCCACTGAAGGCCACAGAGGGTGCAGTCCGCATGGCGTACACACACACACACACACACACAATTATGGCCCCAGCGGCAGCGTCCGCATGGCGTATCCGCACCCAATCTCGCACACCCCTCACACGTTTCGTGGCCCCACAGGGAGCTTAGCCTAAGGCCCCAGCGGCAGCGTCCGCACATCCCCGGCACATCCCTCACACGCCTCGTGGCCCCATGGGGAGCTCCAGCGCAGACCCCAGCGGACGCGTCCGCATGGCGCACCCGCACCCAATTCGGCACACTCCTCACACGTTCCGTGGCCCCGTAGGGAGCTGCGCTGCACCGCAGGCCCGAGCGGCAGCGTCCGCATGGCGTATCCGCATCTACTTCGGCACACCCCTCACACGCTTCGTGGCCCCACGGGTAGCTCCACCGAAGGCCCCAGCGGCAGCGCTCGCATGGCGCAGCCGCACCCAATTCGGCACACCCCTCACACGTCTCGTGGCCCCATGGGGACCTTCACTCACCCCGTGCAGCACTGCCGCGCGGTGCCAGGCGCGGCTTGGTAGCGACGCTGCGGCCTGGGGACGTGCTGTGGCTCCCGAGCCACTGGCGGGCTGCCGCCGCCGTCGCCGCCGCCGCTGGCCGCCGTCGCCGTCGTCGGCGTCGGAGCCGAGCCTCGGAAGATGGCCAGTCGAGACACTTGCGCTGCCGAGAAGGAGGAGGAAGAGGAGGACAAGCAGGAGGACTGGGGAGGAAGAGGAGGCGCCACCAGGCGATGCGGGCGAGCACCAGGTGCCCGCGATCGCCTACGTGCTCCCCTGAAGCGTAGGCGAAAGGCCTTGCGTAATGACGGAATCTTTCGGACCGGTCCCCAGAGCGGTCCATGGTTCCCAGTCGTCTCAAGTCCCCGGTCTCCTGTCCCCGGTCCCCGGTCCCCGCTTCCCGCTTCCCGCTCCTCGCTACCCGCTACCCGCTACGCTGGTCACTGGCCCCAGTCCCCAGTTTCCTGTCCCCGGTCACCTGTCCCCGCGGGTCCCCGGTCCCGTCCTTGGCCCGCGGTCCCCCTGTCCGCGGTTTGCGGTCCCCAGCCTTTCCTGTGGCTCTGGTCCCCTGCCCCTGGGCCCCCCGTCGCCACTTTCGGGCTCCAGAGGCTGGAAGCTGGAGGGCGTCTCTAGCAGAAGCTCCTTCTGTGAGTGAACGGAAACGAAGTCTCGAGCGGGAGCTCCCTCTCGCTGGGAGTCCGAGCGGGTCATCGAAGTCCGATGAACAAGCACAGAGCAGCAGAAAGCAGCATAGACGAGCAGAGACCAGCAGAGAGCAACAGAGAGCAGCAGAGAGCAGCAGAGATCAGCGGAAACGAGCAGAGACCAGCAGAGACCAGCAGAGACCAACAGACAGCAGCAACGACCAGCAGAGAGCAGCAGACACCAGCAGACACCAGCAAAGAGTGGCAGAGAACAGCAGAGACCAGCACAGAACAGCAGAGACCAGCAGAGAGCAGCAGCGGGCGTCAGAGGGCAGCAGAAAGCAGCAGAGAACACCAGAGGGCAGCAGAGAACAACAAAGAACAGCTCGGAGACCAGCAGAGATCAGCAGAAAGCAGCAGAGAGCAGCAATGAGCACCAAAGACCAGCAGGTAGCAGCGGAGAGCATCACGGAGACCAGCAGAGAACAGCAGAGAGCAGGAGAGTCCAACAGAGAGCATTCGAGACCAGCAGAGGACAGCAGAGAGCAGCAGGGAGCAGCACATAGACACGACGAGACCAGCAACGACGAGCAGAGACCTGCAGAAAGCAGCAGAGAGCAGCAGACGGCAGCAGCGCGCAGCAGAGAGCAGCTCGGAGAGCAGTTGAGAGCAGCAGGCAGCAGCAGTGAGCAGCAACGACCAGCAGATAGCAGCAGAGAGCAGCACGGAGACCATCAGACGACAGCAGAAAGCAGCAGTGTCCAGCAGAGACAAGCTCTCTGCAGTAGACACCAGCAGACACCAGCAACAATCAGCAACGACCAGCTGAGAGCAGCAGACACCACCAGACACCACCAGAGAGTGGCGGAGGGCAGCAGAGACTCAGAGACCTGCAGAGAGCAGCAGAGACCTGCAGAAGGCAGCAGAGGGCAGCAGTGGGCAGCAGAGGTCAGCAGAGAGCAACAGAGAGGAGCAGAGAGTAGCAGACAGCCGCAGAGAGCGGCACGGTGACCAGCATTGAGCAGCAGAGAGCAGGAAAGAGCAGCAGAAGGCAGCAGAGGCAAGCTCTCTGCAGCAGGCACCAACGGAGCGCAGCAGACACCAGCAAACACCAGCAGAGATCAGCAACCACCAGCTGAGAGCAGCAGACACCACCAGGGAGTGGTGGAGGGCAGCAGAGAGACTCAGAGACCTGCAGAGAGCAGCAGAGGGCAGCAGAGGGCAGCAGAGGTCAGCAGAGAGCAGCAGAGAGCAGCAGACAGCCGCAGAGAGCAGCACGGTGACCAGCAGAGAGCAGGAAAGAGCAGCAGAGGGCAGCAGAGAGCAGCAGAGAGGAGCAGAGATCCCTGGCCCTGGTCCCCGGTCATTGGTCCCTGCAGTCTCCGGTCCCCGGTCCTCGATCCCCGCTCCTGGCCCCCCGGGCTTGGTCCTCGTAAATTTCACCGTTCCCAGGCCCTAGCCAGCGCACCCCCTCCCCCCCGGGATCGGCCGCTGTTTAAGCCTCGCTCTCGGGGGAACCATCCAGGCTGAGGGGCGGTGAGGAAACACAACGGTTCCCGATCACAGAACTCTGGGCGACACGGGAGGAGGAGGAGGAGGAGGAGGAGGAGGAGGAGGAACAGAGTAGACTCACGTTGTAACGGCCCGCGCATGGAAGGTTGGTCTGGGAGTTGTTCCGAGTGTTTTGGAGTATTCGTTTTTGTTGTCTCTTCCTTTTTTCCTTCTTCTGTGTCTGATTATGTTAAGCCTCAATGGATTGATTGACTCTGGGGCGGAGCTGTAATGTAGACGACGCGCCTCGACGTGCGCGACGACAGCGGTGCATCGGTCGGCGAGCGAGTGTGCCACTTTCCAGACCGACCAGATGCAGGCAACCATAAGCGATTGGAAAACCCACACTATCTGGCTCTTCATGGGACATTACCCCAATCTTTCGATTGCGAGTTTTGGTCACCACGCGATGGGTCTGAGACTCCCCCCCTTCTTAGGGAGACAGGGGAGGGGATGGCTCGCCGCGCGCCGCGCGAGCGCGCGGGCGCTACCCCCGCAGGTGGCACGCCGTGCAGTCTCTGGAGGAGGAGACGGCCCTGCCAAATCTCTGGCCTGGGAAGTGAGGTCTGGCACCCCACTGCGCACACACAAAACTTAGAACCCCATCGACACGAGAGTGTCTCGGATTGAAGAGGGGTTGTGGCATAAGCAAATCAGCAAGGCTGAGTTTCGCAAGAGGGCCATTCATTCTTCCTGGACCAGGATCGCCAGCCTGTTCCTGCTCATATTTCCTCGGCGGCCGAAGAGGGGACGTGGTCGCCACGAGGCCAGATTGGGAAGTAGCCTCGACGTCGAGTGGTCGAGAGGCTGCCTTTCCTTTCTCGGCGGAAAGGCCGGCGGAACCAGAACGGGGGGCGGCGGAGGCCGGCGGAGGTGAGAGTTGGCGCCCCGGGGGGTGCAGTCTGTCGTGGACCCCCTGGTGCCACGGTGAAGGCAGGGTCCTGAGGGAACGGGGCCCCAGGAGTTCTTGCTCCGTCCTCGGCCAGCCCCCTCACCCTCCCCCCCCCTCCAGTGCACCAGGGCGGTCAGATAACGGCTCGGGATGGAAAAAAGTCGGTCCCAGGGAAGGCCCTGGGATCCAGGACTCGTTTCCTGCAGGACCCTTCGATTTCATGCTCAACGTGAGGGCAGATGCAGGGAGATCGAGGAGGCTGAGGGAGGGGGGGCGAGGCAGAGGAAGAGGAGGAGGAGGAGGAGGAAGTGGAGAAGGTGGAGGAGAAGCAGGAAGAGGATTTGTTTGACAGGCGCGGGCGATACATCCTCAGGTTCCTGCGCGGCCTCTACCGCAAGGGCTCATACTGTGCACCGATTAGGAATCGTGGCCTTGGGGGGTACAGTCAGAACTTCGGCATGGGACCCGCTGTCGTCCCGAGCGGGGCCCGGTATCACTTGGGCCCTTCCGTGACCCTCCCCCCCTGAGCTGGGCCCCCGGGTGTTGCTCGTGCACCTGTGCGCAGCCGAGACCTTGGAGCTGCAGAACTCGGACCCTGGCGCGGCGGCTGCGCTGAGAACGCCGAGGCGAGCTGGGGTTTGCCGAGGGCGGCGTCCGTGGCCCGTCGGGTGAGGGCCCCTCGGGCCACGCCAGTGGCCCACCAGCGCCCGGGAGACGCGGCGGGTTGTTAGCTTCGCGTCGTCGAGGCGCGCGGCTGCGGCAAGCCGCTTTTCTGGTAAAAGCCAAACAAGACCTACGAAGCCGAGAACAACTTCGGCTGCCTGGCTGGGTTTCATCACGATCATCGGGTTCTGGATCGACTTCCCTTACCAACAGGATGGCGCAGATCAAAGAGGACTTCACTAAAGAGGACTGACCGGCGAGAGCTGAACTTGGGCACATGCTGGTCCTCGACCCACTGACGTGACGCCGAAGATAAGGTTGTACATTCACATTGGCAGCGCATCGCACGATAACGCGTGCCGACATTCGGCGACTGCGCCACCACCCGTGGAGACACACGTTGTCCTTGCCAGGTGATGCAGGAGTTGCATTGGGCGGTTTCTCGTCCAACTCTGCAACCACCGTCGTGGTTTACACCATGCCCGTGTTTCGTCGCAACCACATTAGCAAGACTCGCATTGCCTGGCACGAGCCAAGTTGGCACGCATGTTAGTGCAAGTTGGGCAAGACAACAAAAGGCGGGCCAACGCGGTCCCAAGAGAGCCCAGGGGGTCCTAAGACGGCTCCAGAGGCCCAATGTAACCTCAAGATGGCTTGCGCGCAGGTGCTGCCCCAAGGTGAACCAAAAGGTTATGTACGAATAGTCGGCTCTGTTCGACCCGCCACGACGGCTGTCTCTCTGCTGCTCCTTTGGCTACCCCCCCATCCCCCGCCCGTCTTCCCTCCCTCTCGGTGGAGGACGACCGTACAGGCCCGCCTCCTCCCTCCCTTCCGACCTCTCGAGGAGGTTGGATACATATTCGGAGGAGGAGGAGGAGAAGCAGGAGGAGGGGGAGGTGGGGGGCGGAAAAGAGGAGCACGTGGCTGTGTGTATGTATGCAAGTGTTTACATGTATGTATATGTTTTTTCGTGCACACATCTCTGGGGGATTAATGCCCATAGGCGATTAATTCCCGTCACGATCGAGGTTTGTCTGACCGTTTCACTCGGGAAATCTTCAACCGTATGAAAGCCCGTAGCACATACCACGCAGATCGCGACGCCGTGGTAAAGATGTATGGTAAGGATGATATATGGCAGCAATCACTGATGTCTCTTTGCGGCATGAGTCGTGGCCAGGTCCCTCCGATCCATCGCCCAATGTGCTCAAGTCTTTTTCTGCTGAAAAGGTCAGCAGCATATGGTCGAGTGGGCCCTCTCCTATTCATCGACCGCCCACTTCATATATACGCTCACCAGAGACGCCATCGCACCGACCAGGTGCGAGTGCACCTGCCCTGCTCCGCCCGCCGCGGCGGAGGTCTGCGAGCCCGTGTTCGAGATCGTCAAGGAGGCGGTGGGGCGCCCACTGGTGTGCCCAGCGGCGCCTGCCTGTACCTGTGCTGCAGCACCACCTTGTCCCGAGTGCCCGGGCACGTCGACACCCCTTGCGGGCCCGCCGAGCGGCGGGCGGACGGTGCCTCTGGAGTTCGCCGTGAGCTTCAGCTTGCTGTGTTTGCTCCTCGGCTACGTGTTCGGGAGGTGCGGAGGGCGTCGCCGAGTGGTGCGGTCGTCCACGTCTGCCGCCTTGCAGGGACCAGCGTCTCGTGAGGAGGTGGAGGCATGGCGACGATCGGTCGGACTCTAGACGCAGACAAGATGCTGACTCTCGTCTGCTACGACGACGACGCTGCTGGGCTGCTCTACCACCACCGTGTCTTGTTCACCAGGAAGGCTGCTGGTCGGTGGATCAGAGGGTCCCCAGACGGAGATGACTATGAGGGGGACTTCAATGGGGTTGATGCGCGGCCGCTGGCTCCGAGCGTGTCCTTCCAGGTCGACCCGGGTGCGACGATGTACGTGTTTCGAGGGCCGCTGCGAACCCTTGCTCGGATCGCCACCATGCACGAGCAGGCGCGCGAGATCACTGAGGTGCTGGGGGCTGCTCCTGCACCAGGGGCGGGGGGCGTGGCTGGCCCCAGCTGGCGTGTGGCGGACCCCTCGTCGGCTGAGTTCGATCAGGTCGTCACTGCCGCGAGGCTCGCTGACTCCTCCGATGATCGCGATGATGGTGTCAGAGTTCAGCGGTTGGCTCTCATCGACGGCAACACCCAGCTGGTCGAGCTTGTGAAGGACTCAGACCCCTATGCGAGGCTTGCTCGGAAGTGGGGTCGGCTGCCTGGCGGTGCTTCGGGCGACCTACGGCTGCTTGGCCATCTCCTGAACTCTGTGCAAAGGCAAGTGCTGCCGCTGTCGGAGGCGATGGAGCTTGTGACGCCCAAGGCTTTCGCAGGATGGCCTCATCCTGGGCCAAAGGCTATCCAGGAGTTTCCCGAGTCGGACCTTGAGAACGGCGGTGACCTTCAGGTGCGGCTCGACGCTCCCATGCGTAAGTCTGGGGTCAGCGAGAACTCGTCCGTGGCACGTGTGCTTCGGAACCTAGTCCAGATCGTGGGGCTCGAGATCGGCTACGACCAGATCGAGTCGGCCAACGTCGCCTGCAGCGAGCAGGCGGTGCTCGGGTTCCACGTGATCCAGCAGGTTCAACGTGATCCCAGCTCTGCAGACCTGAACATCGGCACCATCGGGTCTTACGACGAGATCGGCAGGGCCCACTTGCACGGCAACGACACTTGGCTCGGCGGCGAGCAGAAGGGGGAGGCCAAGACGATGGAGGTCCAACGGAAGTGGCGTGAGGTGCTGGCCGCCGAGCGCCGCTGTTCTGACGATCGGGATGGGCCTCCCGACCTGAAGTCCGAGGCGAAGGCAAAGGCCTCTCCTGCTGGCCAGCAGGAGGGGCAGACATCATGACCGCCTTGGCGCCGGGGGGCAAGGATGAGGCACTTCCCTGCCGAGCCTCCCGAGTATCAAGTGGGGAGTTTTTGGACAGAGGAGGTGGGCCCAAGCATGGTGATCCGTTCCCGCTGCCAGTGCCTTCCGTTGCTGGACGTGGTGATCGTGGGCCCCCTCCCCACCGTGAAGCGCCTGGGTTAACTGTTCGGAGAAGCAGACAGCTCAGGATTGCCGAAGCGGCGCGCAGCCTCAACACTTTGGCTGCCTCTACCGCCTCTTCGATTCGTTCAGGAGGTGCCTGGTTTGGGACTTCGTTACCGCCGCGCCTCTCCTTCACCCAGGCTGCTGCGATGAATCGTGTTCGAGACGTCGTTGGTAGTTATGGGACGATGCCGGCTGGGATGACTGTTCGGGAAGCTTTCTGGGGGCTTCTCAAGTCAAATGACCTGCACTGCGTTGGGGAGAAGAACCTCGCCCCGTATCAGCCCGATCTTCTGAAGGTCGTGAAGGGCAAGACGGCGCCAAAGCCCGCCGTCGATTTGCTGCCGCCCGAGGAGGCGGCCTTCTTGATTGATCCGGATAGGTACCTCGTTCGCTCGCAACCCGAGATCGATGCTTGGAATGAGGAGCACCCGACTTTCAGGCCTTACTGGGACCCCCACTTGCGACAGGATCGGTCGGCGCGGCTCGACCTCTACCGTGAGCTCTATGACAGGGGACTCCTGGGGTTCAGAACTCGTATCAAGGCGAAGGTGGGGATATTCTTTGTGTGGAAGTCGTCTCGTCGTGGGATCAGGCTTATCGTGGACGCCTGGATGCCGAACGGCCACCACCGCTTGCCGCCGAAGACTAGACTAGGGGGAGCTGGTGCCCTCTCGCAGCTCGACGGTTGGCTCGACCAGGATGAGCTCGCCAGCTTGGCGCAGGGGTGTGGCCCGATTGCCGAGGTCCCGAACCTCTCCGTCTGTGTTGGTGACGTGGAGGACGCCTTCTATCAGTTCTCGGTCGAGTCGATGGCCGAGTGGTTCGGCCTAGACGACCCCGTCCGATGCTCCGAGTTCGGCCTCTCGCAGATCTTCGACAACGACCTCGAAAGGCTTCGCCCTGCCCGGCCCACGGAGAAAGTGTTTCCTGTCTTT